AGTAGCTCCCTCCCAAGTGAATGGTCACCCTCTTTTGCTTTTTGGCACAACTCATGGTTATGTTGGATATAATATGTTTAAAACCAACCTGAGGCTGTCTCTTGTTTGAAAAATTCAGATCTTAGCAACATTAGGTGAACTGTGGCTCTGTTGAACATCCCTCTCCATCAGCACTGATATTTCCCTCTTGCATTTGAAGTTCTCTTTTACTTGTGCATTTGGAATTCTTTTTCATTTGTTAGGTCTAATCCTGCTTCATTTTCCAGGTAGAATTACAGTGTTCACCTCTTCTCTTTCATTGGCCTTAGCACCCCCTTAGCCCCAGTGAAGTTTTTAATGTTCTTAGAAATCTTCATCTCAGGAGTGTCTTTAAGTTGTGGTTAAGCATCTTTATCTCTGCTTGATTTCCCTGTCCTGTCCTAGTGTCTATACCTGATTAGTAGATTCAGGCCCTGTTGCACTCCCTGGTACAGAGAGGGCAGCAGCAGTTCTGTTCCTAGCTGTGTTGAACTTTGATCTGGTAAGTGACTTCACAGCCTAAATCAAGGAGCCTTACGCCCTCTAAAATCTCATAAATGAGCCACTACCTTCTTTTTTTTTTATGTTGATTTCTTTTTTTAACTAAGGTATCATTGATGTACAGTCTTAAGAAGGTTTCACATGAGCAACACTGTGGTTACTACATTCATCCATATCATCAAGTCCCTCCCACATACCCATTACAGTTGCTGTCCATCAGCATAGTAAGATGCAGTAGTTACTACTTGTCTTCTCTGTGTTATACTGGAGCCACTCCCTTCTGATGTCTTTCTCCCAGCAGGACATACCTCTCCTCTGTATGAAATACTTTTTTTCAGAGAGCATCCTATTGCTTTTCTGAGATGGAGCTGGACCGCCTGAGGACATAGATGAAACCAGAGAACCAAAAGACTCCCAGAGTTAATTAGCTGAAGTTTCAAGGACCAGGAGTGACTTGGAATGTCCAGACACTCCCCAGAAGAAAAACAACTTCCCACATGAGAAGCTTCCAAGCACAGACACTCCCCAGATTTAGAAAAAAAAAAAAAAAAAATCAGAGAACCGTCACCAAAACCATCAGAGCACCGCCCAAGCCCATGTCTTATTTTTGCCAATGAGACAGGCCCCCCAAGGCCAAAGACTGTCAATCAAGGACTTCTCTGCCCTGCCAAAAAACCCACAGAATTAAGCCTTACAGTAACTAGCAACCTGCCTTTGTCTAACCTAACTCTGGTCCACTCTTCATTTGGAATATATTCAAATAAAATTCTCGTTATGCTACGCTACTGTGTCTCTGCCTTCCAATTCTTTGCTGCTGCGGGGAAAAGAACCGAGGAGAATAAACTCAACCCATAAGAGTACGGGCCTGCTCTATGGAGATAAACAAAGCAGGAAAGGGGCCAGGAGTGACGTTGGTTTAAATAATATAGCCAAGGAAGACAGCATCCAAGAAAGTAGCATTTGAGGAGAGAACGGAAAAAAGTGAGGCAGCAAACTGTGGAGATTCCTGGGGGAAGAGCATTCTAGGCAAAGGAAACAGCAAACTGAAGACTGAGTGGCACAACAAATTTTAGGGATTCAAGGACCACCAAGCAGGCTTGGGTGGCTGGAGTGAGGGAGGGGGGAATAGTGGGGAATGAGGTGGGGAGAGGAGGGGGGCAGATCATATACACCTGCTTCTGCCGAGTGAGGTAGGAGCCATGGGAGGGGTTTTAGCAAAGGGGGAACATGAGACATGATCTGACTTCGATTTTAACAGAATCCTTTGGCTGCCATGTGGGAGACAGACTGGAGAGGGCTGAGATGAGAAAGGGGAACCAGGGAGGAGGCTGCTGTAGTACATGGAGATGGAGGCAGCTAGACGGGGTGATGGCAGAGAAGATGGTGAGAAGTGGTCAGATTCTACAGATGTTTGAAGGTGGAACCCAGGGGGATTGGCCAGTGGATTGGCCACAGAATGTGAGAGGAGAGGAATTAAGGATAATCCCAAAGTTTTTGGCCCTAGCACCTGGAAATGTGGAGCTACTGGGAAGATGCCAAAAGAGGCTGAGAGAGAAAAATTAGAGTTCCATTTTAAACATATTAAATTTGAGTTGGGTATTGGCATTGAGTTGGGATGTCAAGTGGAAAGTTGGATGTAATTATCAAACCTTTGGGAAAGGAGAACTTAGGCCAATTCAAATGTCATTACCGAAAGAAGACGGGGAAGTCATTAGAGTACATACTCTGCTTGAAATCTGCAAAAGAGAACTACAACTTATTTTAAAGAGGAAAATGGAAGGAAGTAAACGCCAAATATGAAATTAAGAATAAAGTCACAAACTACCAACACTGGGAAAAATAGCAAACTTGAAACTAGCTCTTGGAAAAACCATTAAAACACAGTTTTTTTAATGCTTAAGGGAATTAATACCTTCTTGATGAAATCAAACAAAACCGGAAGAACAGACTAAAGAACAAAAAAGGGGAAGTTACAACAAATGAAAAGCAAGATTAGTTTTAATGACCAAGGGACTTCTATGTAAAATTGCACAAAATACATGTGAAAGCTTTCAAGTAATTGACTCTTCTTAACAAAAAGTAAGGCTGATGCAATAAAATAAAAAAAAGAAAAGAGATTTCAAAAAAAACCACTAAAGTTTTTTATAAAATGTATCAAAGAAGAACTTTCCTCAGTGGCACCTGGACCCAATGGATTAACAACAGGATTTCCCCCCAATATCTCATGAAGCTGTATAAATTGTCCCAGGGCATAATTCATTCTACAAGGCAGTCTTGGTCTTAATAATTCATGCATGAAAATTCTAAATAAAATACTAAGGAATAAAAAAATTTATTGTTGAGGACCTACTGTGTGTCCCTGTATCATATAAAGAAAAAAGAGATCCCTACCACTGGGGAGCTCACAGACTAGTTGGAAGAAAACAGGGTATAGACAAATAAAGATAGTTTGGTTCTTTCAAAGGCTTGAGGTGTGTGGGGGAGAGACAGAAATGAAAATGTCCGGTATGTTGCCCTTGGGGAACATACAGTTTAGCTGGGAACTTGCGTTCCAAAAGCTTGAAGGAGAAGGACACTGTTTCCTCCTGGAGAGGAGAATGAATCAGAGAGGGCTTCCTGGAGGAAGTGTCATTTGAACAAGACATTGAAGGAATATTTCCGTGATTCAGAGCATGAGCCCTGGAGTCAAGTAAATGTGGGATCAAAGCTCAGCTCTATAATTTCCTTGCCATGTGATCTTGGACAAATGACCCCCCTTTCTGGGCCTCAGCTTATAAAATGAAGCCTCTCCCCCTACCTCTGGCTTTTTGGAAAAATTACCTTAAAGAAGAAACTATAAAGTCCTGTTGTGGAGTAACAGCTCTACACACTGGTGCCACTACTGTAAGATTTAAGAGCTTTGAGCAGGTGAGAATCTCAAGCAGCCTTGTCTAAATAGAACTTTCTGCAATGATAGAAATGTGTTATATCTGCACTGCTCAGTATGGTAGCCACCAGCCACATGTGGCTACTGAGCCTTGACCTGAGACTAGTAGGACTAAGGAATTGAATTTTCAATTTGAGTTCATTTGAAGTTAAATAGCCACAAACAGCTGGTGATTACCAGATTGGGTAGCACAGATCTGAAGGGCTTCCGGGCAGTAGTACCAGGTTGAGAAAAGGCCCAGAAGCATGATAACAATACAGCCCAGAAGGTCAGTACTAGCTGCCTGCAGTTGCTATAACAAGTTACTACAAACTTAGGGACTTGAAACAGTACAAATGTATTCTACTAAAGATTTGGAGGTCAGAAATCTAAAATCAAGGTGTCAGCAAACCCCCTTCTGGGGCTTTGGAGAGCATCCATTTCCTGGCCTTTCTTAGCTTCTTGAGGTTGCCTGCATCCCTTCACTCATGGCCCTTTCCTCACGCTGCTTGGCATTTGCTTCCACTGTCACATCTGCTACTGACTCTGACCTCCAGCGGCTTCTTATAAGGACCCTTTTTGATATCACTGAATCCATCCTAACAATCTAGGATACTCTGCCTGCCCACCTCAAGATCCTTAACTTAATCACATTTGCCAAGTTCCTTTTGTCATGTAAGTTCACATATTCACAGGTTTGGGAGATTCGGATGCAGGCCTTATTAGGGGCCATTATGTTGGTCTGTTATAGGCTCTGAGCAGCTAGAATATAAGTGTGTCCAGTAGTAAAGAGAAGCCTCAAATACCAACCTAAGGAGCTTGGACATGGCCTTTCTTTCCAGAAAGATCCATAATCTGTCACCCTCTCACCACCTCTGCTGCTGTTCTCCTGATCCAAGTCATCATCACTTCATGCTTAGACGATTGCAGTAGCCTCTTCACTTCCCTTCCCATCCCTCATAGTCTCCACCAGCAACTTGAGGGATCCTAGTAAAATCTAAGTCAAATCAAAACACTTCTCTACTCAGAAAAGGGTTGCCTGATTTAGAAAAAAAAAAAAAATTACAGAATGCTCAATAATGTGTGAATCTCAAACAAACAACAAAAATTTTTTAGTATGTCTCAAATATTGCATGGGACATACTCATGCTAAAAAATTTTTCTTGTTCATCTTAGACTCATACTTTATTGGGGAATTATATTTTATCTGCTAATGGTAGCTCAGAACCATCCCATGGATCTCCAAACACTTGCTATGGCCTAGGAGTCTTTCAAAGTCCAGCCACCTGCGGCCCATCTCCCTTCATCTCCTGCCACTCTCCCTCTTGCTTGTTCTGCTCTATCCACACTGGGCTCTTACTGTTCCTGGAATATACCGAGCATGACCCACCCTGGAATGTTGCCTCTGTCTGGAATGCTTTTATTCCAGATTTAAGTGTGCATGACTCCCCCCTCCTTCAGGTCTTGGCTCATATATCACCTTACCAAAGGGACCTTGCCTGGCCCACCTATATCTCTGCCCCACTCAGCCCTCTTTGTCCCCTTTAAATCGCTTAGCACTTATCACTACTTAACATTTTTCATATTTCTTTATTTCTTTGCTTATTGTGTCTTCCTCCATTAGACTTTCAGCTGCCTCAGGGAAAGGATTTATGTCTCTTTTGGCCACTGCTACATCCCCAGTGCCCTTGCCCACAGCAGGTGCATAATGAATGTTTGTTGAATGAATAAAGGAATAAATGATGATATCACTGAACTGCTGGATCCAGCTGTGCCTGAAGCCATCCATATTTGTGAAATGGGATAGGAAGATACAAACCAGTTTCCCTCTAGCTTACACCTCCATCTCCGAGACCAGGTCATGGCTGGTGGACTTCTTGCTGACCACACTCTCATCATTGCTCTGCGACTCCTTCAGGGCCCAGCGACACGCAGCTGGCAGGGACTGGCGGAGCCGAGTCCTCCCAAAATACAGGAAGAGCATGGGATTGAGGCAGCTGTGAGCAAGGGCAAGGCCCACGACCAGGGGTTCAGCCTTCAGGGCCCTGGCCAAGAGCATGGAGTGTGGTGAGGCTACGGTAAGTACCAGCCCCAGTGTGTGGTAGGGGGCCCAGCAGACAAAAAACCCCACCACAACGGCTGTGCCCAGTGGCCAGCAGCCTCGGGCCGCGTGGCAAAGGAGGGCACTGTAGCAGCTGGCCACGACCACCAGCGGCCCTAGGAAGCCAAAAATAAACCGGGTGGCAGACACTGTGTTTTCAGCTATGGCCGAGCCACCGTAGTCCACCACACACTCCAGCCGCTGTGGGAAATGCTCCTGGTGCAGCCGGCGGTAGACGGCCGAGGGCACAGTGAGCAGCAGGGCCAGTGTCCAGGCTGCCCCACAGGCCCCCTGCACCCGGCATGCACGCCCAGCTGTAGGCCACTGGGCAGGCCTGAGGGCCAGCAGGCAGAGGTCGGCGCTGAGGGCAGCCAAAAGGAGGACGCTGGCGTACATGGACAGCAGGATGACAGAGGGCAGCGCCCGACAGCCCACGGCCCCGTAGGGCCAGTGGCCCCCGTGGGCGATGGGCACTGCCAGGACGGGGAGAGACAAACAGCACAGCAGGTCCGCCACGGCCAGGTGGAGGAACCAAAGGGCACCCACCCGCTGGCGGGCCTCTTTCCTCGTCACCCAGGCCACCGTGGCATTGCCCGGCACTCCCACCAGAAAGACGGCAGCATACAGCAGGAGCGGGGCCGTGCGGAGGGGGTCGACGGAGACGCAGGTGCCATCAGCACAGTCCACGGGGAGATCCGGAATCTCGCTGTAGTCCCCATACTCGTAGCGGAGAGAAGTGTTCTCCATCCAGGCCCCGGGCACCTGGGCAAGAGAGAAATGCCGGGAAGCCTCAGGGGCGAAAGCTCTCAGCCCTTGGAATCCTCCCGTGTAGGAGCCCCAGCCCATCAGCCTCTTGGAGACAAACCCATAACAATGAGAACCGCAGTGCATTAGGATATTGGAATTCCAGACAACTATAATATTAGAATGAGCTGGTAGCATCCTGGAATTCAAGAGTAGTACAACACAGAACCCCAGCATGTTAGAATATTGGGGTTCTAGAATGCCAAAGTGTCAGAGCCCTAGCTCAGGGGTATCCTGGAATTCTAGAATTTTACCATGTTAGAACCCCAGTTTAGTAGCATCTTGGGATTCTGGCATATTATGATGTTAGAACGTGATTGTGATTTTAAAAATCTTAGANGCTTTACTATATTGGACATAAATTGACTTTGAGTTCTCTGAAATAAAGGAGCAATATAATAAATAAGAGACATTTGTGTCCCAAGTGTTGGGGAGTTGTGATACATTTGTTAAGGCTTAAATAACCAGTCTTAGTTTGTAACACTGTACAGATCAAGCCAGAGCTCTTGGAGAAAATCTTGCTGTTGATTATTCTGAAAAGAAAGAGTATATCTGCAAAACACCAAGTGAGCTATAGGAAGAGTTGTGACTAGTTCTAACATAGGTTAGTGAATTAGCATAAGTTATGAAAAGGCAATCTGAATTCATCACACCATGTCTTATTTAAAAGCCCATTTTCTCACAGTATGTCAAAACATAGAGCACAGCATAAAAGCAGATGCAGAGTTCTTGTACAAATAACTTTTAATTTCTTCATAGGCTAGAATGGCTTTTGTGCAATTTGGATGCTGATAATATTAATAATAATAGCTAGCACTTGCACCATTCTTAATATGTACCAGTGTCTAAGTGACTTACACATATTGTATCAACTGAGGCTCACAGCAGCCCCATGTGGCAGGTACTGTCATCAGTCCCATTTTACAAATGATGTTATAGGGAGGTGAAACAACTTGCCTATGGCTAAACAGTTGCCAAGAATTAGAGCCAGTAAATGAACCCCTACAGTCTGAGTAGAAGTTTGCATTTCTTTGACCACTGTCATGGTCTGTTGCATCTTGATCGCACATTCAGTGCAATGAATGCTGTCTTCTAGGAAGAGAATGGAGACTACACATATGTGGACAGAGTGAAGATACCTTTGGATCATGGGACCTTGTTGATCATGGAAGGAGCTACACAAGATGACTGGCAGGTGAGAACATGCAAGTGATACAGATTTATTCTCCTATGGAGGCAGTTTCCAAACTGACCAATGATTATTTCTGTAGTAAATGTGGTGAAAAGCAAGTTGCTTTTATAACGAGCAAGTCAGCAAAGTGGCATTTCCAAGGAGCTTTGATACTACTGACAAATCAGAATGACCTCTACAGCAGCAGTGTCCAACAGAACTTTCTGAAATGATGGAAATATTCTGTATCTGTGAGCCTGATGTAGTAGCCACTAGGCATATAATTGATGATCTCTTGAAATATGGCTAATGTGCTGAAGGATTGAATTTTAAATTTAATTTTAATAATTTAAGTAGCTTCAGGTGGCCAATGGCTAGCATATTGGGCCTTACAGCTCCTCAGCTTAACCAGGCCATTTTAAAGCCAGGTCATTTTTAAGCTCTGCAAATTAATGTGATACCACTTAGCACGAGAGTGAAATCTCATGCCTCTTTGGTCTCAGCCATTTATGTGTTTTTGTATGAGGTTTGGAAAAATGGCAGGAGGCTGAGAGGAAGAGCAACAATTAGAAACAACAAACATACCTCACTGGAAGAGTGCTGGCACGTTACAGCATAGGGATGCAGATTTGTTTCAGAGGAGACCTTTCTCCACAAGACTTAAGGAACTTATTACTGCTCACTTAAGGGGGGTAAAATTGAAATATTTCTGTCTTCTCACAAATAAGTCTCAAATTGTTTTGAAGTAAAAATTTGTGTGTGTGTTTATGTCAGAGTTATTTATATTTCCATTTAGCATCGAGTGCCCAAAGAGTACCACTCTAGAAAACCAAGAATAAACCTGACCTTCCGGACAGTTTATCCAGACCCCAGAGGGGCACGCTGGTGATCTGAGTTCTTTGAGACAGAAGCTGTGCTGGGACTGGGCGAACCTGCCACCGGGAGGAAACTTGGAGTGGCTGGTCCAACTGAGCTCACTGTGTGGCTTTTTGGAAGATGAGGGTAGAATTTGCTTCCCAGTTCAGCATCCTATTAAATGACAGCCAGCAGTTTGTGTTCATAATGTGTTTACTGTAGAAACAGTGATCCCTTATTGTATCTTGAAACCACATATTTTCTTTAGGCAAATTAAAAACTGCTGTGTTTGTGCTCAGAATGATTTTGGCCGTAAGCAATTTTTCTCCTGCCCTCCCCTGCCTCATTTGAAGAAATATGAAAGGATTTTGCTTCCAGGGTAAATCTGCACATGCTTATTCCTTGTGACTTTAGCAAAGTGGTGATATAAATATGCGTCAGTTACTCTGGAGCCTTCCATAGGCAGACAGCTGCTGAAACCCAAACAGAGGTGGTTTCACAGAGATTTGTTGAAGTGTGCCTTGGCTCTTTAACATCTCGGCTTGCGTGCTGTTGTAATGGAAAGCTGCATGTTCTGGGAGTGCTTTAGTGGACTCAGTCAGTCTTCCTGGAACTCTCAAGACAGGTTACAGGCCTCTGAATAGAGTGAAGGTAATATTCTCTAGTGCAGCCATCTTCAAGCCATCACCTGGACTACTGAGAAAACTGTCCCCGCAAAGGGGGATGAACTGAGTGATGTCATGAGAACTCGAGGCTGAACAGCAGCAAAAGCCTTGCTAGTGACAGCTGTTCCACATAGATTAGTTTCCCCTCGAGAATCCTTGAGTCATTTAAACCCAAGTCAGATAGAAGCTGGAGGAGTCCCACAGGGAATAGACTCAGTTACCTAAGAGTTCTCGTCCCTTTGATTTCAGTAGCCCTGTGACTCAGGCTTTCTTCTGACTCAGTGTCCTCTCATACTCAGGTTCCCAAGATTCAGGGATTAGTCCATAATGTCACCGAAGTTCCCAAAACAACAGAATGACTGCCCCTTCATTGCATCATAAAAGCACGTGTCTTCTTGACCTCTTGACTCAGGAGCAGTCTGCCAGATTAATTCCAAAGCAAGATATGGAAAACCTGAGAGAAAGAAAATAGATTCAAATGGATGAGAGTTAGAGTTAGAGTTTCTCTAGCTGTCTGTGGGGAATATTTACAGAGTCTTCTTGCTTTTGATCTTGTTTCCATTCCATGCTGAAAGATTGATGATCCCATGAATGCAAATATAATACCATGCATGGCCAGGCTCCTTTTTCTGACAAGCGCTCAAGCTTCTTGCATTGGACTCCCTTTATTTCTTTTTTAAATATTGCATGTGTATAGCTCCTTTCCCTAAGAAATACTAAATGCTTTATATAGTCTGAGCATCATTCTAAGCCTTTCAGTGAGGGAGGTACAAGTCACCATAAAATAAAATAAAGCCTCTCTTTAATTCCTGGCTTTTCTCCTATTAAACAAAACAGCCAGCTTTGGTTATGAGTTTGATGCATGACATTGGGAAATTCTTCTTCCATTTCCACAAATGAAATAACTGGCAGATGGTTCCAAGTCTTACAGCAGCCTCCTAATGTAGGGTCATGATCTCCCCTTGAGCCAACTGCAGATTAGATCTCTTCACTCATCACTGCCATATCTGTTGGGGAAGCACATTCCTACCCTGGAGCACACAACTTGGGCCAGTACCTGAGTTTCTTCATCTGAGAGCAGCTGTCTAAGGTTGTTGTTTCTTGCTATCAAATGCCAAAATTGCCATTTTTTTCCCACCACTGAGATAATGTCCCTTCTAAAATGTCAAGTAACTACTTGCCATAGAGTAGAGGTACAGGACTTAGACTGGACAGGACTTCCAGATCCTGGCAAAGGACAGCCATGCTCAGTACTGCACCAACTTGTTGCTATGTTTTACTGGTGGTAGATCTTAATTAGGAATTAGAGGTGAAGCTATTTTTGCTGACATTACTTATAAAGAGAGGGAGCAAATATATTGGTTGTAGTTTGAGGAAAAACAGGTTTCATTTTTTAGCTGCCCTTTTTTTTGAGCTTTGATAACTGGCCAGGCACTGTCCTAGGAGCTTTTTATACATAATCCCTAATCCTCCCTATAGCCTACAAGAAAGAGATGAACTATTTCCATTGCAGAAACTAGGCAACTGAGTGTCCAAGAGGCTAAGTAATTTAACAGGACTTAACTATAAGGGACAGAACCAGAATTCAGACCACAAGCTAAGCCCTAAACAGTGTGTTTTCTCCTTTGCTAGATTTAGGCAGAAGAGTCTATCAGGCAGCCTGGAACCCTGGGCCTCGGCTTGCTCCTCTAGAGCTGGCCACCCACTGGAAGAGCTCACCACCAGGCCACCTTGCTTGTCCTCTGACTTTCCTGTGCATCAGGGCGGCATCTACATCTCTCTCTTTAATCAACATTAGCAACACCTCGTCAGAACCCATGTTACCAACTGGACTAGGAATTGGCTACTTAACTGGGGAAGCTCGTTTTTGGGGGACAGAATCCAATTTCTTGCAATTTAGACAAATTCTCATCTTCCTGGCATGTGACTCAGAACAGTGTTTCCTGACTATATCCAAGCAAACTTTCCGAGGTAGTTGAGGGGTCCCTTCCCCCCTTCATTCTTATCTGAGTGCACTTGGGGACTCTGAATGACACCCTAACTCAGCATCAGGCTTCTTCACGATACTTGACGCACCACAGCTCCAGCCAGCAGATAGCTCAAAAGAACAGGTCAGGTCACACACTCAAAGCATCTTGACAACAGGCAACTGGACTCAGAGCACAGGCTGGGATAGGGTGCACTGAGCATCAGATTGTACCCCAGGATTGAAATCCAGATCCACATTGTTGTCCTCCTGTAAACTGCTAATTCAGGTGGCATTGATTATTCCTAATACATTTGGGTCACAGCTCATAAACCTGCCGTTTCCTTGTGGTACTCAATCTCTGCCACCTCTGTGGTGGATATTACCCTGTCCTAGTGCATGACAGGTCTGTCTGGACCTGGTGCATCGGTAGCACTATCTCCTGAGTTGTGTCATGGTGAGCCCCCCAAGTACTGAGTGGGCACCGTGGTGAGCAGACTGCTCCAGTTGGAGAGCTTCAGAGAAAGCCCTGACACGTGATGGGTCCCTGCCCTACTGGAAATATTTCTTGCTTGAGTTCTGGCAGCTTTTACTTGGCTGCAGAATGTCTAAGACCCACTTTGCCTTTTCTGGTCATAAATACTTGTAGTGTTGAATATGAGGTCTTGATTGCTTTATTTTTCTTAACAATGCCTTTGAAAAAGCCGAATGTTTCCATAGTGATGCTTTCTGTTTAAATCTTTACTTATACATGGTTCCACCCACATGCTGTCCTCAGAGAGACCTAGTCTACAGCTGTCCCTTCCGCCCTCCCCATGTTCTCTGTGGAAGGTAGGGGCCCCTGTCTGAGACCCCTGTCAGCTTTATGTTGCTGGAATCTGCTCTTACATGGGATCCCTGCATCTGGGGAGGTCAGCAGTTTCTTGGTAAAGTAGGACAGCACCTGATGGCACCATTCTCAGCTGGCTTAGAGCACTGGGGCACTGGCTTGTAAGAGGCGTCCCCGGCCTGTGAACAAAGCCCCGTGTGGCCTGGGCTGTTCCTCTGTGTTAAAGCTGGGTTTGAGGCCTGGCACTGAGTTGAGGAAAACAGGATGTTAGGCAGTACCTTTGTAGCCAGCATTACCCCAAAGATTGTTTTCTTAAATGAGCCAATTTGGGGTGACCAAAGTATGTGTGACATTATTAATCACTTCTGAGCTGTCACTCCCCATCATCATCATGGTGAGATCACACTCCCTGGAAACCAGGGACAGTCCCTATTATGTGACCTCCAGGATTGTGGACATGTTCAGATAGGACCCTGGCCTTTGACCCCATTAGCTTTTAACTCTGGACACACAAATTCTAGGTTTCTGAAAAGGAAGGAAAGGTGAGAGCCAGGAGGGAGTGTACCAGGTCTGCTTGGTTGGGCCTATTATACCCCTAACCTGATTCATTCCTAAAAGCAACCCTATGAGATGGTTGTTTTTTTAAACAGATGAGGAAATGGAGGCACAAAGAGGATTGATCCAATTCTGAGGTCTGGTGTCCTGGGTGGGCTGGGAGAGCCCGGCTTGGGCACTTGTCAGCAGGCAGTCTGGTTCCCTCTGGGCCACCCAGGCCTGGCCCCTGACTGTGGGGCCTCTGCAGCCAGAGACTCTTGTTCTTGCCTGAGAGCTGCACCCCATGGGGTGGGAGGCAGGGCAAGTGGTGGGCCGTTACAGGGCTCTGGAGGGCCCCGTGGTCGGGTTGCAGTTAGCTGCTCGCTGCAGAAAGGGTGTGGGCAAGCATGCTGTGACAGTGACAGGCAGCTGCCACACAGCACCTGTGATGGTCCAGATGTCCCCAAGAAGGTGGACGTGAGCGCCCCAGACTTGCGCCTGGATGTGGCTGAACCTTCCTGCTGCAGTTTGTGGCAGAGAGGGGAGGGTTACCTCAGCCTTCTAAGGGGCTGCAGCAAGGTGCTGCCAGACCCGTCCTCAGGTGCTCACAGCCTCTGCGGCTGGCTTCCCCTTCTTCCTGATCTGTATGTGGAGGATGGGCACATAGATGGGACCATCTAGGAAGGGACAGCACCCCTCCAAAGCTGATATTGGATTGAGGGCTCTATTCTCCCTGCCTTAAGATGAAAGAATGTTGTGGGATTGGGAGATGAAGGATGCCATGCAGGGCTTCTCAAACTCTGTCTCGGGGGTGTTCAGGCTGCTGACCACCCAGACAGAACTCAGGAAAGTCAGGGAGAGGAGGGGAGCCCCTCAGAAGTGTCACCTTCATGTCCCTGTTGTTTAGGGAAAACTTCTGAACACTTCCTCTGAAAATGTATCAAGATTATTAGCCACTAATTTCTCCCTGGTCCCTCTCTCTGATACTAGCCTTTAGCCTCTCTGCACACTTGGTGTGAAGGGGAAAGGAAGACAGCTAGCCTGCAGGTACAGATCAAGAGGGGAGTCTAAATGCTTGGCTTCCCTCCCCCTCTCCCCCACACCGCCACAGCCTCCTCCTGAGAGGAGATGGGCCAGAGAGGAGAACGAGTGAGCTCCTGTGCAGACTTTACTTTGGAATCTGAAAGTGCTGTGAGGGCAAAGGTTAGAAACTACTCTCCCCATTGGACAGATGACAAAACAGCCCTGGAGGAGTTAAGTGCTCACCAAGGGCCACCCAGGGAGAGGCAGAACCAGCACTAATACCTAGG